CTATTGTAACACGAAGCACGTGGAAACGTGTACTAATTGTTGGAAATATAATGCCTAGTTGACAGATTTAGCGTGACAGTGATTCACGTGTGTAGATTGAGAACACCCATCATACACCCACATTGCGATTGTCGATTATGGAAAATGTTAGTGTCGAATTCACATTCACTGACATCAAATCCTGTTTCAGATTTTTTATTCTTTACAATAGATTCTCGAGAAATGGATATGATTAATAGCAAACTACAAAATTGGACAAATACGTACCCAAATTCGAATACAAAGGAGAGAGTATTTTATTTTTTTAGCGTCAATCAATGTCATTAAACTTGATTTTTATTTATATGAACGAGTATTTTTCCTAACTGAAACATTGTTATATTCGATGACATTCTTTGTTTGCAAAAATTAAATGGGACACTTTTGTTGAGGTTTGTTATTATTCCTTCACTATTTTTTTGTTAATAAGTGTGTGTTAATCACTTGGATAATTATTTGCTGTGATTATTGCGTCTGGTACAATCCGATGCTGCATATTTATTAAATCTAAAATTAACAAAATTTAAAAGAGACAGAAATTTTCAACACAAAGTCTATATTTTATTATAGTAAATATTAAGTAAATTCACAAACAAAATTTCCAGTGTAACTAACATAGTGGTGTGTAATTCGTCACCTTTTCTGTAAATTAACTATAATAATACCTGCTTTCTTTGTTTTTTGAACAAACTGTGTAAAAAAAAATATCTTTTTAACTAATCATAAACTCTCTTATCCAGGCTTAGTACGTCTTAAGCTTATTTTGTTACACGATTTTATAAAATAGTTGTATAGTTTTTCCTCAAAAATTATATTCATGTGAAAACAAATATGTAAACGCTTAAGTATGTTGTTAACAAAGCACGCTATAAGAGGTTAGTATATATTATATATTTACAGAATTCACTTTGCTAAATAGAAACCGTTTTTGACATACAAATTACATATCAGATAATTTTCTCAACAATAGATGGCTATTTCTTGGTTTACTTATAATTTTTTGCCGAAAAGAGGTCATTTTGACGAATGTTTAATTTCATATTTGCTTGGATTGCACAGCAAACAGAACATGAAGATGTTAAGAAATTTTGTACAATCCAGTTTTACATTTTATCTAAGAAACAAAAGCAACTAATCTGACATTTTCGTAAAACGTAAACATTGATTAAAATTATAGAACGTTGTTAAAACATATTTACATAAACCTTCCAGAAAATTGATGACGTCATAGCAAATAATATTAAATATTGTACCCTTTGAGAAACTTGTGTGTGTATTTTGATATAGTACATTTATGTTTTTGGAAGTACTTATGCAGGATATCTCTGGAAATTGTACTTTAAATAACTTCGTAGTCCAAGATTAAATTGGTAATCTCTTTCATCCACATATCGGGTGTTCAACTAAAAAAGCCATCAAGTTGACTTTGAATTTTTGTAAACTTTGTGAAGTATGTCTACAATTAACCTAAAATTTAATCGATGCAGCTGACAACGTGAAAATGTCGTTGTACAGAGCAGTATGAATTAATAAAACACATATGTTTTTCTTTACGTTTTCTTCTATCAAAAAAGCAACGCCAACTTGATGACTTTTTTAATTGAACACCCTTTATATCGTTTTCAGAGTCTTAATTGTGAATTCAATAAAAAAATGCGTCTAAATTATCCAAGGATGAACCTGACACCAATTGTCTGAGGGGTGAATGTAACAATGGAAAAGCGTTCAATAAACTCAAGAGGAGAAATACTCTTTAAAATCTCCTTAAATATAAAAGCATTAAAACTGCCTTCTTCAAAGTTGCAGTAAAGCAAAAAATACCTTGTGATAATTACATCAATATTAAACTCATTCCAAAAGTCCATTTGTCCTTGAATGACAAAATTTTGAATCACTAGATAATTGGAACATCAATAAATAATATTAGCAATTTCGGTTGAATTTATTTTTGGGCAATTGACAGATTGTGTAAATTTCGTTCAAAACATGCTCTGTTCTTTTAATTGCCGTTCCTAATTAGAAGTGGAACAGCGAAATATAAAATGCCACATGATTGAAAAAACTTCTCTAGAAGGTCATAAAATTTATTTTTAAAATGTTCGCATTGTGGTTATTTGACAGTTTATTTAACAAGACGTCGGTGTTGCCAACATCAGTAGATATTTAAAAATAAACTTCATGACCTACTAGATGACTTTTACGCCGGGTGATTTTTTAAATTTCTACTCTAGTTACCCATAACGCTGCTGACGTAAGCGTTATGGGTAATCACAGCAAAAATTTAAGAAATAACAAATCATACAGATGAATCTAAGGTGGAAAGTGAGCAAAGATAATCACGGCGCCTTATAGTTTAGTTGGTAGCATACTCGTCCGGCAAGTGAGAGACCTGGTTTCGAATCCCACTGAGGCTTGAATTTTAACTCACTTTCCATAAATCTTTTGGTAAACCTGAAAAATATTTAAAAAGGTAGAAATTTTTTCAGCAAATTGCCTTGAACTGAACGTAGCTGTCGGAAATAACTGGAACAAAGCTTGAATTTTCTATACATCTAATATAAAAGAATATTGTTATATACAGAGGATGTTCGAAAAATGGCGCAGAACTTGTCAATTGGACATTCACTTACTAAAACAAAATATCGTTAGAAAGATAGATAGATCAAAAAACGGGAAGTTTTCGTAATGTTATAAAATGAAGAAATCTGTGGATGGAGACAAGATGCCTCCAAAATTATTTTGAATAATAAAAATCCAATCGATTTCAGATACCCAACACAAGTAGTCTTTTAGAATACGACGAAATTCCAAAAAGAAAATTAAATTCGATTCGATTTCTGTACTTAATAAATTTTGTATAAAACAACAGAACCATATATTCTTGATATTATAATACGGCGAATGGTGCCTAGAGTACAAAAAAATAGGTTTCCCTTTTCGTCTGTCTATCTGTCTGTCTGTCGTCTGTGTCGATCTCTACTGGACAGATGTTATAAGTACGTTAGGTTGGTAAATATTATTACTCCTGTACATGTGCTTTATGAATAGGCATCTATATTGGCATCTATATTTTCCCAAAAAAAAATTACTTTTCCTTACCTATATGTTTTTAACTTATAGGGTTGAGCTGTACCTTAAAGGACAGGAAAGTTCTATCTAAGTATTTCGGATCAAATTTTTTCGTTGTTAGAAAAACTTGCATTCATCGTCATTCACAAAATTAGTTACTTCAAAAAATTATGACACTAAGTACAACCCTTCACACACCACACAATTTCTTGAATACCGGTCTGGGATTTAAGCAATTCGATCATTGTTAGTTGGCCAAAATGATGCAGAGCCATAAAATTTGATTACTATACAAAAATAATGTACGTTACCAGTTGGATCAAAAACAACCTTGAACCACCGCGAGATCTCTGATGAAGTGTTGAAACACAAAATTGCATCAAAATAGTTAAAAAAACACTAACGTGCATGTGTGTAGTAAGTCCTGCGAGGTTTTTTGAGTATTTAATATTAATACTTATATTTTGTGTGAAATTGAACTTATTTTGTTGGTCATGGTCTTCAGACTTCAGAATTGTGTCAACCATTTGAAAAATTGTCACTTAAATATCATTTGTTGTTAGGAAATAGAAAGATTGCAGACATTATTACATACTTTCCGAGAGTCCTAAACGGTCTTTCATTACAAATTACTTCTTATATTCAGATGAGACTAGATTAATACACAATTTTCGAAATTCAGTAGTTTATTTTTGTAAATAACGTGGGTAAACCTATATGAAAAACATGTACAAGATGTGAGTTATTCCGCCCCTGAGTTAAACCACATCCATGTTACGAGATAAATTTTGTAACCATTTTTTATGACAAATCGGCCCCCAAGTATCGGTAAAATATAAAAAAGTTTGTCTTTGCTTGAACACCTGATCCACTATGAGCTAGCAATAGAGAAGGAGACAAAATGGACCCAAGTGCTCATGGAAACATGCAAATTCTCCACATTTACACAAAACAGCTTTTCGCTTAAATTAGTTTAAATGTTAATTCCGAAGACGTCGCCTTCAACAAACTTCCAAGAGTCATGATGATGGAGATCATCATGTATGCATGGAAGTCTCGTAGCACCCACGAGATCATTAATAGTGTCTGTAGGATTAACTTTAATGAACGACCCATGAACTTGCCATTTGCAAGGAGAAAGTAGATAAAAATCTAGGATTTTCATAATATATAGTCTACTGAATGACGATAGTGACTAACGAAGATCTAATAAATAAATAAATAAATACGTAAATAATAAATAAAGCTATGGAAATAATCACCACGAACTAATGATTAGTGTCGAAAAAGTTCATCAAAAATATTCAAATCTAGTTAGTTTTAAATCATAAAAAGTGGTTTTAAAAGAATAAACTTATCTAAATTGATAGCGACCTCTTTTGCGTCGCGTTTCAAAAGAAGTGAATTATATGTTGCCTATCCCAAAGTCAAGAACCATTCATGCGGTCTGGTGTGATAAACGAAACTTACTTCTTGTAGACTTGACTCTTTAAACATACATTTTTTATATAATTCATATGGTATTTTTTAAATTTCCAACATTTTTATGCAATTTTTATATAAACAAGGTTCATTTTGCATCCATTTGCTTCGGTTTGTAATAACCACAAAACTAGTCGATGTTATTATATTGTGATAGTTCGTCTGAAGAATATTCTGTCTTACACATTACATAATTATTTAAACTATACAAATGACCACCGTCATGGGTTCAGTAAATGATATATGTATTTGTAAAATCAAATTTTTAAATTTCTCTTAATTTTCAAAGCATAATTTGTAAAAATCAGTGTAAAGTATTCTTTAGACATAATTTATGAATCGTGTAGTAAAATTCTAGAAACAATGCAATACTCCTTGTTTGTCGCTTATGCAACCCACAATTGTTTCAGGTGTGGAGGTTCTCTAGTCAGCAGGCGCCATGTCGTAACTGCGGGTCATTGTGTGGCAAGGGCAACCCCGAGACAGGTGCACGTTACCCTCGGAGATTACGTTATCAACTCAGCGGTAGAGCCATTGCCAGCGTACACCTTCGGGGTTTCTCAAATACAGGTACGGATAAAAGCTTTTTTATGGCCGAAAAGATGAGGACCTTAATATCTTTATCCGGCCGGTAATTTTTCAAGCGCATCATAAATTCAGACCAACTCGAAAATAAAAACTTTCTATTGTTGTTGTAATCTGCAGTACATTTCCTTTCATACGGTGGCGTTTCATTAGTCAAAGCGCGATAATTAAATGTACATAAACCTGACCGTTCTAATTTATCTCTCTAATTAAAACCGTTTGCGTTTCGGAATCTAGATATAATGTTAGTGTTAGTTTTGGTAGAAAGTCAATAATAGGTGTTGTGTGCTTAAGAATTAAAAATTACAGACGTCACTATGATAATAGGTGTATTTCTATTAGTTTTAGAATAGTTGATTGAAAGGGATTAGAGAATTAAATTTCTATACCACATATAACTACTGCAAAAAGAAGAGGAAGAAGTTTAAATTGTTGTTACGTTCCCAGTTAATGAACGTTGATGTCTTACTTGATCTGAAAAAGCTTGGCACGAAACTTAAACAATGAAGTTTGATAAATTTTTTTTTTCAAAATTTCCTTATAAAATAAGGCCTGAACTTTGCAGAAATATAGTAATCGCCACCAGTATAGCATGTGACCTCTAACCTTTTAAATAGTGCTATAGTAGGTACTGCATTATTTTTTTGTTGGTATCAGTGTTGGTTGAAGTATTTAAGTTTAAAAAAGGAGTATTGGTGTAAAAATAAGAAATGATGAGGTATTTCAGAAACGGTAAAGCTTTTTACGCAGAGAACGTTACCCCATACAAAAAATTTAATAAACGTCTTATGCAGTCGGGGTGATAAAATTTCGTTACGGACGTTGCTTTATGTTAAATCTTATACCATAGAGAGTAGCTGAAACATGTTAGTTAGGATTTAGGTGTACCAATTTTAAACTAAGTTTCGCCATTCTAACTATACCTTCTGCTTGTTTGCAAACTTTAATAGAGACTATTCATTAAAACTGATATTCGTTATACCAGTACAAGAAAGTTAATTATGAGTATGTAGGTTTGTCGAAACTTATTATTATTATATTGTGGTTTAAATTACAGGATGCTGTTGAGACAAATTTGTTTGAAATTATAATTCGTTAATTTTTAATTAACAGTTTGCTAGTATGGACTCACCCTACGTCAGTATTTTGTGTCAAGTCTGGTGTGATTTCATTGTCAGCAATATTATATTTTGATAATTCGGAAATATTTTACTTATGTTATTAGATGGTATCATGATCAATATTTTTGTAGATTACAAGCTCTCATTCACACGGTTTTGTTCAAAACAGTATTTGATTGCATCAGAGCGTCCATCGTCACCACAACAAAAGTGCAATCTAATAATAATTAACGAATGAAATCTTTACTTTGTTTTGTAGAGCTGTTTTCTCCTTTTTTGTATTGCATTTCTCGTGAACACAAAATTTTGTGCAATACCTTGTCCACAAGCTGACTAGACCGTTAAAAATTAAACTTAAACACTTGTTGAAAATGGCTTTAATTATTGAAATGGGTAGATACACATAAATTCAGCATACCCTTTTTTCTCTTCAGTTGTTTGCTCTCATTTCTGCTGCCTTTGTAGACAGAGCGGATGGAATATATTCCGCTGGACGTAATTAATCGAGGTTTTTTTCCAAACACGTAAAATAATAGAGTGTGACCTGGCTACCCATCAAAATGGAATTATGGAAATGGAAATACAATCCGGGACACAAATACCCTGACATCGGAGATAAAGGTTTTATTTCAGCAGAATTTATGTGTTCATTGTACTTAAATTAAAGCAACAGTTAATAAAAGACTACTGTCAGGTGGTCATTTTCGATATTCTTATACATATGTCATCTTTTAAAGTTATAAATGAAGACCATAATTTTCATGGTTTATCTTCTTTCAATCTATACTTTGGCACAACTGTTTGATTTGTTGTTGTATAAAAATTGTCAAATGGTTTTTTGCGAATTATTTTGGGCAATAGGTTGCTATTCATTACACAATTACCAATTACCTTTCATTTCGGTCACTGCTCTTTCGTGATGCTCTTCTCGTACAGTTTCACTAAAATAATCATCAATTTCAAACTGAGCTCTATCAGAATCTGATTCTGCTACTCACATTCCTAAGACAGGAACAAAATCTACACCTGTGGTCGTCTTAGGTTAATGCCTAAAGTGTCTAATGTTTTTTCCCGATATATTATGATTATTAAGTAGTTGTCCAGTCACAGAATAAGGTAAGAAACAATACATAATTAATTTTCAGAATGAAATGGAACCGCCTTCTGATTTCCAGTTTCTGTTTCTAGCTAAAATATGATGGTTTCGTTGCTCTTTCCGAGCCCGTAGGGTTTCTGATTGGCTTAAAATTACAAGAAAACACTTCAAAAGTGACGTTTCTGAAGAATTTTAACAATTTTCTTGTATCTACGAACGGCAGAATGCATAAAATTGACCCAAACGTCTCCTTTTCCTAATCTGAGACGATTCTGCATGCTCTAAGTGTGTTTCGTGGCTCAAAATCATCAAAAAATGTTGAAATATAGTTCAGATTTAATAAAAATCGGCAAAAATACTGTTTCTAGCTAAAATTTGAAGATTTAATTATATATTCTTCTGCAAAATGGGAGTGCAGTTGCTAAAAAAAGGCGTAACAGTAATTTTTTTGTTATATTATTTACTTAGCTTAAGATTTATTTCTTATTTTGTAAGAAGAAAATAAGAAAACGGGTGGGTGGGCGGGGCTAAGTTGAACTTTTTCTTGCAGAGTCCTTTATAAGCAAGGAATAGCCCCACCTATTGGCCTCCCCTTCATTCTAGTAACTACTTTCAATATTGTTTAGTCTTATCTTAGCAAGTACTAGTCCCGCCCACCCGCTCTCTATATCGTAAAGGGAGTCATTAGCCAAAGTCAGTCTTATCTTAGCAGGTGCTTGACCCGCCCATTCACTTTTTATTTTCTTACGGGTATGTTATTTGCCAAAGTGAGTCTTATCTTAGCAAGTATTAATCCTGCCCACCCACCCACGCTATTCTCATTCTAAGGACTAATTTTATTTCTGTTCAGTATGCGATCCATTTTCATTCAGACCAGATAAAATAAATCACTAAAATGGAGACGGGGTGGGTGGGCGGGATAAATTATATTTTCTTCTGCAGAATGGGAGAGCGGCTGTTAAAAAAGAAAAAAAGACCTAACAGTATTTGGTTTGTTATACTATTTACCTTAAGACCTATTTTTTATTTGTAAGAAAAAAATGAGAAAACGGGTGGGTGGGCGGGGGTAAGTTTAACTTTTTCTTGCAGAGTTTTTTGTTAGCAAGGAATAGCCCAACGGATTCGCCTCCTCTTCATTCTAGTAACTAATGTTATTCTTGCTTAGTCTTATCTTCGCAAGTCTTAGCCCCGCCCACCCACCCTCTACTGTCTTAAAAGGTGTCATTTGCCAAAACCAGTCTTATCTTAGCTGGTGTTTGACCCGCCCACCCACCCTCTACTTGCTTAAAGGGTATATCATTTGCCAAAGTGAGTCTTATCTTACCAATTACTAACCCCGCCCACCCACCCACGCTAGTCTCATTCTAAGGACTATGAATAATACACATGTTAAAAATAATTTCCGGGTAAGCTTCTAGTTTATAGTGAAATTTAAACAAGAAGACTATTGATAGCTCAATTCATTTACATAATAAAGCATACCTACAAGTTAAGTCGATTAAGTTTGACGGACCAAAATTAAATTCCAAATTTTTTTGTAAAGTGTTTTTTAAAAAGTATCTTGTGTTCTAACAGTTATTCTTGTATGATATTGTGTTAACCTAAAATGAGACGTGTGCACAAAATTTAAACTCGGGGAAAATTCAAAAATTGGCTTTGAACTATGATCGTCAACAAAATGAAATCCTGCGTTGTGTGCTCAGTTTTCACCGAGATTCACGAGTTACAACACATATTCATTTTCGCGGGACAAAGGGTGTTACATAATTGATCACATCATCCACTGCCAAGTTGAAGGACAAGCGCATTCCACGAAAAGTAGGTACTTTAAGCAGGAACGAAATAATAGAAAGAGTCAATGAGACACTTTAAAAAAGCGCTAAAATCCGTCCTACTAACATTGTTACAATTGACCGATGAACTTCAACTTGGTTCATTTTGTTATTGTTGAAAAACGAAGGTCCGACAGAAAACTGACTTTTTCGATATCCTTTTTTTTTATAGGTGGCTGCATTACTGAAATGGATCAAGTACGATGTAATAATTATAACTTAAATTAAAAACATCTAGAACTTTTAGATATCGCGTTAACCAAAATAAGCGAATTTTCCTCCACATTTACATTATTGTAGTTAAATTAGAATAACAGTTAATAATTCTAAGATGAACAATAAAACTAAAAGTACATATGTTGATGGAATAGTCAAAGTTTGACACATTTCAGGTTAGAAAATTATTAATAACCTGATATTACACTAATTACACTCGTTGAAGGGAAATCGTGGCGTCGAATGTGACTCATTTTTGTTTAAACAATTGCCGTATTATGAAATTACAAACTAAATTAACCGTACTCTTAATTTTAAGATGTGTTAAATATTCCCTCAATAAACAAGATGTGCTGAAAAGATTGATTTCGATTTTTTTTTACTTACCCCGCTACTCTAAATCGAGGGTTTAAATTGACGATTATAGTTAGGATGTTCTGTGCACTTTATGTTTGGATTGTAATAATATTTGTTATTAATATTTCCTAAGATTTTTTTAGATTTATAATATTCCAGGGATCTTAACATACACAGCAGTTTTGCTGCTGCCAGTGAAATCGAACTCATTCTTTGTAAAATTGTATAGCTCCTAAACTGTGAAAAGTTCATTATTTTGACGGAAACTCTGAATCCAATGATTTCTCTTCGAATCAAAAATAAAAATTTGGTTTTTTTTTGCTACTTCTTTTTTTCTGATCTTCCAAATCTTCTTTTCTCTCTACTTTTCCGCACTTGGCTATTACTTGCCTAAAACCTTACGTTAAGTATTTGTCTTCGAGATTTTTTTCTGACTTTTTACTAAAAAGATGTTTCTGACTTTCTGAATTATATCAGCTTTAGTTAGGCAGCTATAAAATATTTTGTCCCTTTTAGAGGAGGATGGATTCTGTTGGGCAAATATTGTATATAGGGTGAAGCACTAAGTACACGGTACTCGATGTCGCATTAATTATTGGAGATATCACAAAAAGTCAAGTCCAATGTTGTAAGATTCTTAAAGGACTATACTCTACAATTATTTTTAACTGTACAGTGTTTTATTTTAAGTGTAAAACATAACGTTTTTTTTTCTAATAAAACACCCGATATATTTTTATATTTTCTCATTACCCTCTTCCTAGGTTCTATAACTACAGTTTATTTTTGAAATTCCAATGCGACGTTGGTACGTGATTCCAATTTTTTTGAAATTTTTTGCTAGTGGAAAAGTTCACATAAAAATCGCAATGAAGTTATTTTTAAAGATTTAAAGTACGTCTTACCATATTTTGTGGAAGGATAAATAAAGGTACGCGGTTTGTTGTGGTAGCAATGAAATCAAATTTTAGTGTACAGAGTGTTTATAAAAATTCTAAAACTGCACAATTTTCAGATATCGATGTATCCGTTTTGGCAAATAAGAACAGCTCTTATTTTATTACTGTATATTACTGTATTTTTTGTTGTCATTTTTCTAATATGTCTAAGTATCTCTTAATAAAGCACAAAATCAATTTTAAATACTGAAAATACTTAATACAGAGAACAAAAAATATAAGTAATAATAATATAGGGTGTTCTATTTGAAAAAACTGAAATATCGATGCTTGAAAATTGTAATAATTGGAATAACGTGGCAACGGCGCATTAGTATTTCAAAAATAAGCTGTTGTTGTAAAACCTTTGAAGAGGTCAATCAAAATATGTAAAAATATATAGTATGTTTCATTCAAAAAAACGCCTTAAAAACAGAACTTTCTGTATAGTTAAAAATAATTTTTGAGTATAGTCTTCAAAGAACCGTGCAACTTTGGTCTTTCTATTTCTAATAATTAATGATATATCGAGGAACGCGCGCTTAATGCCTCAGCCTGTATATTATAAGTGTTTTCCAAATTAGTATATATCTTGTCTAGAACAATTAAAAAAAATAAAATAAACCTGAAACCTGCATAATTCATTATGGGTTTATGACAGAAGGACGACTTTAATTCTGTTGAATTATGTCAAAATGGTTGGTGACGCGTCCAGCAATTTTCAAGATGGAGCTTTAAAACCAAAAGATGGATACTAATCATTGTGAACAGGAACCACAAGACTGGAAATTTGGAAAACCATGACACAAATATTTAAATAAAAAATGTTAAAACCGGAAATTTTGTGGTCGTTGTAATTCAATAAATTTTAAGTAGCCATTGATGGAATTTTCAAAGATGGTTGCTAACATTTGAAAAGTAAAAAATTCAGTGATTCGTCGTTCGAATAACGGTCGAAGTTGCTCCAGTCAGGAGACGAGTCAATTTTCGCCATTTGTCTGACATTGGTAGAGGTAGGATTATTGGGGTGATAGACGAAGGTTTTTGTTTCGACAAATAACGGGTCTCATGAATCGTAACCAAGCGACCATAACGAGATGTTGGCAGAGCTGGTCCCAAGAGGATTTTCAACATCGACTCCCTGACAGTGGACATCTCTAAAGAGATGTTATACATCTAAATTGCACTGTAAGGTACAAATGAAAAGCATACGTCACGAGATTATGTTAAGATACAGTGTCGACCTAAAGATAAAAGCTCCCAGTGTTTACGGTAACATTTAAAATGAGCACTAAATTCACACTAAAAAGAAAAAATCTAATAGGCATTTTTAAATGTAAATTCCCAGATTCCGTCGACGAATTTAACCTAAGCCATTTTGGATTAAAGTCTCAACTTTGTTCTGAACGTCGCTTAGATCGAAATCTCTCATAATCTCCACACTCTCTTACACTTACTGTACTTTTGAGACAGAAACCACTTCACCGAAAATATACGGTTTTCAATTTGCCTAACTCTACTAGTAGCAACCACAGCTCCTCCCTTCCTCCCTCCATCTTCGCTCCCGCCAACGCCGCTTCAGCCCTCCACCAAAACAAAAAAACCGTTCCAGTCGTCTCGTCCTCCACAGCAAGCGAGCTACATGCTGTTTTAATGAAATTCTGTTTGCAGGTACATCCTTTCTTCAAATTCACCCCTCAGGCGGACCGCTTCGACGTGGCCGTCCTGCGCCTCGACCGCACCGCTCATCAGCTTCCACACATCACCCCCATCTGCCTGCCCCCGCGCGGGGATAACTTCCTGGGGGAGGTCGGGGTGGCAGCCGGCTGGGGGGCGCTCAGTCCGGGCTCGAGGCTGCGGCCGCAGACTCTCCAAGCTGTGCAAGTGCCAGTGATTGATAACAGGGTTTGCGAACGATGGCACAGGTCGAAGGGCATCGGGGTGACCATTTACGATGAGATGATGTGCGCGGGGTACAAAAACGGGGGCAGAGACAGTTGTCAGGGCGACTCCGGGGGGCCGCTGATGCTGCAGAAACAGGGACGATGGTTTCTGATCGGGATTGTTTCGGCAGGATACAGTTGTGCGCAACCGGGACAACCGGGAATTTATCACAGGGTGGCACATACGGTCGATTGGATCACGAGAGCGATTGGTGTTTAGTTGCCACCCCCACAGACTTATTAGTTTGATAAATGAGTTCTTACTTCACTAATTGAGGTCTCTGTTTGTCGTTTTTCTTTGAAGGAGTACTGAACTGAGTATTGTTCTTGAAGAGTGTAGTATTTTGTATAAAATGTCCATTTGAAGAATTTAGTCGGCGGTTTGGCTTAGTGCTAATAGCTCTCAGGTCACTGAGAAGTGAAACAGAAAGACAATTATCAAAGTTATATACATATCGCTTCGGATTTTTCCTTACTTGTGATATTAATTGTTATTGTTGATTTGAACGTGTTAACACACAGAGTCCGTAAAGTCTCACTTTTCTGCTACGTCCGAAAAGTAATTTTGGAATCGCTTGCGGCTCCTTCACCAGTTTTCGTGCTAGTTCGTAAAAGTTACCTGACAGTTTATAATTTATAATACAAATAACGTTAACAATAATCTTTGTAAAAACTTTTAGAGTTAAAATTATCTCTTTGACCCGAGGGGTGTCTCCATTTTAAGTCAACGTTTTCTGAATATCAACATCTTCTCACAGACTAGTCCATAAAACCTATGTCGACTATTTTTAGCTTGCAAATTAGCACCATCAAGACCTCTTGACGCTGAAAATTCATCCAGAACCGAGTTTCATTAATCTTGCTTAATTTTAAAGCACCTCATTATAAAAGCATAAAAGATTCAGGTGGGAACATGTGCAATTTAAAGGTTTTGAGCATAAATACCGTCAAATGTATGACTTGGGTAAATGAACCCACTCCACAAAATGGGTTATGCCAAGACTGACTCAACTCAGAATATCTATCTGTAAATTTGTTTCCAAATACAACTTAACACTTTAGTTTGTGTTCAGTCTATCTCTGACACTGCTGAATTTGAATTTATTACAATTTTTATTCACAGCGTTTTATTGCCAGCGTCCATAAAATTCGTTTTAAAAATTAACAGTTAGCTGTGTTTTATCGTTATATACCCTGGAAATAATTGATGAAATGGTTGCTGCTATGGTCGTTATCAGTTCGATATTTTTATGGGCCTTTAGTAGTTTAAAATGTTCTATGAGTTTTTTCCGCAATAGAATTTTTAAACTTTTATATTTCCATGCAATAGGTTTTTTCTGATCGAACGTAAAAATGCTAATGGTACCTAAATTTGTATTGTACCTTATATTTGGTACTTGGTACTTTAAACTAGAGCACTGGTGATACTTTACGTGAAACACTCAAAGAGTAACATCTACCACATGCTATTGTCATACAGAAAAGTTGTCGGCTATAGCTTTATGGTCAAATTATTTTTTTTGTAGGGTGTTTTTTCCAAGAATTTTTAACTACATATAACCAAACATTTATTAAAATCAAAATTTTGTAGTGGTGCCATTTAATTTTCCTATAGTTTTTGGCATCATGGCGTAATTGGACGTTTTTTTAAGGTTCAATTTAGCATTATATCTGTGGTACTGTTCCATCGTTTCATCGATACAGTTTATTTAGGTATTATTTACATCGTTCTGAATTGGTTCCATATTTTTCTACGTGAAATACGGACAATATGACTTTCTTTCATATATGAAACTCCTGATTGTATCTACACGAGACAATAAAGAGAAATATATTCTCCTTTTTTATGTCAACTGTTCAAATAAAGTGATAACTGTATCGTAACTCAAAAATAAAAACAAAAATTTGTTCACTACTTAATATAAAGTGTGCTGATAACTTTACAATTTCGAGGTGATCCATATTAATACTAAAATCGTTTGGCTATTTGGAAAATACTCCATTTTAACCTTCATCATTGTTATTAATAGATAACTTTTTAATAATTATAACAGTCATGCCATCACTGCTAACTTATTTTTCCAGAATTGAAAATGAAATAGAACAAGGTTTCGCATATTTTGTTCAACCTTAGACTTAACATTCCTACAACAGTGAAGAACTATGGTCACGATGTTCTTCTTCGTGAAGCTCGTTTGCCACCACTGGTCATAATATCACCGTGTCATATAAATGACTTAGTACTAACCAAATTCGTAAAATTCCTGCCTTATCGTGTATTTTTTTTTACTCCGGTGAAAAAGTTTTAATTACAACTGTTTGATTTTTGCATTAAAGTGTATTTTGTGATTCTTGAACTAAGTAGACATAAAGAAATATTTTTGTGTTTCATATCTAGTAGTAAATTATTCATTTTAAATTATTAATACAAGTGTGTAAAAATCTGGACTGGAAGTGAACGTAATTTATGTAATTTTTATATATTTAAATTGTTTAAGTAGCATTTCTCTGTAAATTAATAAAATTATCTTGTTTTGAACCTTTTTCATTATTTATCCTTTCACCAGCCATAATGTAAGAGAAAAAAAAAGGTTTTACCTTCTTAAAAAAAAGAGATTTGGGTCCCCGAAAAGGTTTCACATTCTTTAAAATGACAGTTGGGGCGACCGAGAAGGTTTCAACTTCTTAAAAAAAAGACACTTGGGCCTTCCGAGAAGGTTTCACATTCTTTAAAAGAAAAGAGTCTTGGGAACCCCGAGAATACTTCACATTGTTAAAAAAAGACAGTTGGGACCCCCGAGAAGGTTTCACATTTAAAAAAAAAAGACACTTGGGGCCCCCGAGGTTTCACTTTCTTAAAAAAAAGGCAGATGGATCCCCGAGAAGGTTCCACCTTCTTTAAAAAAAGATACTTGGGGACCCCGAGAAGGTTTCACATTATTATCGGCTTAATAGTTTTCTGTCTTTTGCAAAAATCAGTCTAATATTTGCCAAGAATAGACTGATTTTGGCAGATGACATATCCTCTAAGAAAATAAGGGTGGGTGGGCGGGGCTAGTACCTACTTGTCAAGATAAGACTGATTTTGGCAGATGACCTACTCTTTTAAGAAAATAAGGGTGGGTGGGCGGTGCTAGTACTGTTAAATAAGACTTATTTTGGCAAATACTAGCCCGGCCCACCCGGCTTTTATTTTCTTAGAGGGTAGCTTATTTGGCAAGTGCTAGCCCCACCCACCCGCCCTTTGTTTTCTTATATAGAGAGTAGATCATCTGCCAAAATCAGTCTTATCGCATCGAGTACTACTAGATTTTTCAGTTTGTCGATTTTTCAACTTTCGAATTTTTGAATTTCTCGCTTTTTAAATCTTAATTTTTTTTATCTATCTTTCGATTTTTTAGTTTTACAATTTTGGCAATTTTCCTATTTCTCAATTATTTGATTTTTAAAAATATCGTGAAAATAGATGTTTATTTTTTAAATTTTCGATTTTTGATTTTTTGTTACCGGGTTTGTGGAAGGGAATAAATAGTATATTATTAGCCAAGGTTGCAGAGCCAAGCATTCTAGACCGAGCGCAAATTAGAACCCGAGACGCGCAGCGTCGAGGGCTCTGAAGCGCGAGGTCAATTTTTGGATTTTTCGGTTTTTCAAAAGTTCTGTTCGAATGAATTTGTTCTTTTAGTTAAAAAATCGAAAAATGACAAATCGTGAAAAGGAAAAATTTTAACTTCAGAACTTGAAAAATTAAAAATCAAAAAAACTCCAAAATTGTCAAACAAATTATTATCAAATGAAATATTCAAAAGGTGAAAAATCTAGAAACTAAAAAAAATGAAAACTGGAATATTCGAATATAATATATTTCAAAGAAAAGTGTCCGAATTACAAAAGTTATACAAGGCACCACTGGTACGCCATATATTTTCTACGTCGTTCCGCTCAGCTGTTTCTCTTCTCTCTGCGCCGGTCCACGCCAGCGGCGCCAGCATCACGGGGGCCGGTCCAGTGGCGGCCACGTGGCGGCAGCGGTAACAGTCGGCTACGCTACCAGCCTCCGCGTCCCCGTGGAGCGAGTTGCCCTAAAAGAAGAGGGACCAGTTAACAAACAAATTAGGCTAAATCTCGCCTCAACTATTCCCGAGTTAGTAACCCTATATAACTTATTCTAAGCTTATAATAACATAACCTGTTGCTAGGGGATACTAAGACAGCAACGTAGTGATCTTAGAATTCCACTAGCTGACCTTATGACGAACAACCCTCATGGCTAGTCTCAGATTCTCCGTCGGATTCTGAACTAACTCTCACGTTGTAGGGCTTTAGCTTATCGAGGGAAACGACTCCTCTGTAGCTTCTCTGCGATCGAGAAGAACCTGTCATGTCCTCGACTACATAGCGATCATGTGTCAGGACTTCTGTAATGACAAAGGGCCCACTATACTTTGGCAGAAGCTTCTTGCTTTGGCCCTGGTTACTAGCAGCAATCGTTCGCACTAGAACCTGTTCACCTTTCTTATACGTTCGCCCCGCACGTCGATGTGCATCGAAGGAAGCTTTGCGTTTGCTTTGATGGGCGTCTATACGAGCTTTTGCGTTCGCTCTCATTGCTTGGACGTCTCCTGCATTCTCTGGTTCAATTGCCACTTCGTTGGCCAGAAATGCAGTACCAGTGCTTCTTGGCGCGCATCCGAACAGCAACTCGTATGGCGATTTTCCCGTAGACGAATTCGCCGTAGAATTCAGTCCCCATCGCACTGCCGAGACGGCTTCGTCCCATCTTTGTTCATCTTCCATAGATGACGCCAGTGAGGCTAATATCGTGCGGTTGTAACGTTCAACCTGACCATTTGCTCTCGGGGTTGCCGTTGCGTTCAAAACATGCTTTATGTTTAGAGTCTTGCAGTATTCCGTGAACTGCTTACTAGTAAAACAGCTACCTCTATCTGAGATGATTCTTCTAGGAACACCAAAATTGTCTATCATGCTATTCAAGAAGTTAACCACGAGTCGTGCCTTAGTTGATGGGACTGCCTTCATGAACACGAACTTTGTAAAAGCATCTACAAGCACTATTAAATATGCATTCTTTCGTTTCGACTTGACAAAAGGGCCCAGATGATCAACGTGAAGTGTGTCAAAGGGCACCGCAATTTTCTCGATAGGGTGCATGTAGCCTGGCTTTTTCCCACCCATGTCTTTGTTGTACAAGCACGGTAGGCAACTCGATATATACTTCTTGACGTATCTACGCATTCCAGGAAACCAGTATGATGCCGATATGGCCGATATCGTCTTCATATCTGCCAAGTGGCCATTCTCGTCATGGAAATGCGAGACGACGTTTCGTCTTGCCGTCTTAGGCACAACCCACTTATTCCCGTTGTTTGTAATCTTATACAGTCTATTGTTGATAAGACGATAGTTTGCATGTATATCTCGTTCTTCCTTATCCTCTGGCTTCCGTTGCAGAGTCTCGATAAGGTACTTGCACCTATCGTCCAACATCTGAGCGGTTAGAACCCAATCATCTTCGTTGATGTTTACGGCACCTGCAATCGTTACTTCTAAACCGACAGGGTTTCTGCTCAAAGCATCAGCGTGTGACATTTTGTGTCCCGGACGATATTCGACGTCAAACGTATAATCTTGGATGCTTAGCCACCATCTTCCAATTCTAGGGACTAAATCACGCTTCGATAGAGTGGCGCGAATCGCGCTACAATCCGTCACAACCTTAAATTTCAGACCAATAAAATATATTCTAAATGCTTTCAATGTATACACCACTGCCATTGTCTCTAACTCGTATGAGTGGTATCGTTGTTCTTCCTTCGTAGTCTGTCTGGAATAATATAGTACTGGTCGAACAGTACCGTCCCTTTGCCTTTGTAATAGAATGCCACCTATTCCCCATTTGGATGCGTCAGTGTGAACCTCCGTCGTCAATTGCGGGTCGTAAATCGCCAATAGAGGTCGTGATGTTAATGACTTTTTGAGGGCGTCAAAAGCTATCCGTTGTTCGTCACCCCATGTGAAAACAGTGTCTTTTTTTGTTAGGATTGTTAGCGGTTTAGCGATTTTAGCGAAATCTCTAACATACTTTCTGAAATAACTAGCCAAGCCAAGAAACTGTCTGACACCGCGTACATCAGTCGGCGTTGGGAAATTCTCGACTGCGACTGTCTTTGCTTTCCCTGGTCGTATGCCTTGGCCACTAATCTCATGTCCTAAGTATTCAACTTTTTCCATAAAAAACTGGCACTTGGCCGGGCGTAAAGTAAGTCCAGCAGTGCGAAGTGACTGTAAGACTAGTCTTAGATTAGCCATGCCACTTTCGATGTCTTCTGTCGGCAGCAATATGTCGTCCATATAAGCTAGCGCCTTCCCGTAACGCAAATTCCCCAAAACCTTGTTTATAGTTCTTTGGAACACAGCTGGTGCGTTACACAATCCAAATGGAACCCTGAGGAATTCGTAGTGACCGTCTGGAGTGACAAAAGCCGTTTTAGGAACAGAAGAAGCTTCTATTTGCAATTGGTGGTATCCGCTGGCCAGGTCCAGACTTGTAAAGTACCTACATCCTTTCAATTTTTCTACGAATTCGTCAACGTGTGGAAGAGGGAACCTGTCCTTTACTGTTTTGGCGTTTAAGGCTCTGTAGTCGACGCACATACGCTGCTCACCGTTTTTCTTCTTCACGAGGACTATAGGGCTCGAGTAAGGCGAATCCGATTCTTGGATGATCTCATTTTCGAGTAGATCTTTTACGATGTCTCTCACAACTTGGCGTTCATTGTGAGAGAGACGATATGGCCGATAGACCACAGGATTGTCATCCTGAAGATGTATCGACATCTTCAACACGTCGGTTTTGCCTAGATGTTTAGTGGTTGACGCAAAACAATCGCTAAATTCGTTTATTAAACTAACTAAATCACGGACCTGCGTTGGCGTGAGATGTTGATTGTATATCAGATTATGGAAATCGAAAACATCGACTACATCAACGGATTGTGTCGCTAACGGCAATGCAGTTGTTACTTTTGACACCGGAGACGACTTTTCCTCAAAACAAACTACAGACCTAACTAAGATTGTTTTGGGACTTACCTCGATATGCCGGTACGAAAGATTCGTGATGGCGACGTAGCCATCCTCCCCCTTCGTAATACATTCGTGTACGACGTGTTCTCCATCAGGCAGCGGTCGTAAGCCACCTTTTACGTATACGTCGTCGGCACAGGCACCTCGAGAAGTCACGGCGACGAGAGCCGTTGTTCTCGGTTCTAACACGATTGATTCCTTTGCCCATAAAGGAATTTTCCTGGGAGGAACATCGAGAGTTTCGCACAAGTCACTTCCTCTTCGGGTAACTCGTACGGTCTGTCCAGAAACAATCATCATGATCTCATCTTGATTTAAGAAAGTTTGGCCCACCAGCACAGGAATTTCTTGAGCAGTATTGGGTACTATCAGGCTCTCAACTTCAGCCTCTGCACCATCTATCTTGAGTCGGATGGTCAGTTTTCCGAGAGTTTTCGTGGCTACTCCGCCGTAACCTATTACATATTTCGTGCAGGGACTGCGTTCCATGTTCAGCATGTTGGCGGTATCTTCCCGGATTAGAACAGCGCCGCACCCCGAATCAACATATGCCTGGGAGGGCGTTTCATTAACCCAGCAGTCAAAAAAATAACTACTGTTGACGGGTGCCAAGTCTTTCTCAAGGACAACTTGATTCTTGATGGACTGCCTGCGGCAATCTTTTGTAAGGTGGCCCAACCGCTTACAACTGGCACATTCCACTTTGGGTTTCGGACACTTATCGGCAAAGTGACCCTCATCCCTACAGTTATAGCATTTTGGGGGTCTTCTAGCCGGTGGTTTCGCTTTTTTTGGAGGCGGCTCATTCGATCGCTCCCTTTCGCTCAAAGGACGGCGATGTGCAGTTGTAAACGCAGTTTTCGCTACAGTCGTGCTCGAGACGGACTTTTCAGGTTTTAGAACAGAGATATATTCAGCGTAGAGCCGGTCTGGGCTCGTATATCTACCTGCTCTGGCCCCTGCTTGGACGCTTGGATCTTCAATACCATCAATAATACACGACACGGCTCTATGTCCATTAATATCGCAAGCATTTGTAAGTTCTACCTTGTCAAAGTAATATCTTTCCCATGATTCTGTAGGCAACTTCATCCGATTTACGAGGGCACGTAACGTAGTGGCGAAATCTCTGTGTTCAGGGAAGGATTTTACGAGCAATTTCTTCCACTCTTTCCAACTCAGTCGATATGTTGATAAATTATCATACCAGCGTCGAGCTAATCCACTTAGACGACTCTGCATTAAAAATATCATGGTTGGCTCATCCCAGTTATTAATTTTTGCCAACTGTTCGATTTTTGCGATCCATTTCGCTGAACTCAAATTTGGATTTCCAGGCGTGAACTCGGGTATACTTTCCGGTTTTATAGCAACCCTAATTCCACGATGGTGTTTGTCTTTCGCCTTTGTTTGGTGCTTAATCAACTTTTCCACCAACGCTTCTAACCTGCTCACAGTATCGTTGGATTTTGATAACGGAGGTGTATTTGATGGCGTACATGACTTATGGTCGCTGCCCCGGCTCGTACCAGGTGCGCTTAAGTTTCGGGACGCTTTGGAAGGTGATCGAGTACGCTTCTGTCTGCGCTTGTAGTTCCCATCCGCTGAACTCGATCTGGAGCTCGAGCTACTGGAGTAACTATCACGATCCATCGCATTCACATCACTCCCGAACTCTCACAGAAAAGCACAAGGGCTATCCCACCGCTGCCCTATAATATATTTCAAAGAAAAGTGTCCGAATTACAAAAGTTATACAAGGCACCACTGGTACGCCATATATTTTCTACGTCGTTCCGCTCAGCTGTTTCTCTTCTCTCTGCGCCGGTCCACGCCAGCGGCGCCAGCATCACGGGGGCCGGTCCAGTGGCGGCCACGTGGCGGCAGCGGTAACACGAATTCGATTTTTTTTTCAATTTTTCGATATTTCAGTTTTTCATTTTCCGATTTCTCATTTATCCGATTTTTCAATTTGTCATTTTTTTATTTTTAGCAAGTACTGCCCCACCCACGCAGACTTGATTTTCTTAGAAGAATAAATCATCTGCCAAAATCAGTCTTATCTTGGCAAGTACTAGCCCCCCGCCCACCCTCCCCTATTTTCTTAAAGGATATGTCATTTGCCAAAATCAGTCTCATCTTGACAAGTATTAGCCCTGCCCACCCATCCTTTATTTTCTTAGTCCAGTGGGTCATCTGCCAAAATCAGTCTTATCTTGAAAAGTAGGTACTACAAATGATTTTAATATACAGGGTGCTGAAAAAATTGCGTACCAACTTTATGACACGTTGTTGAGGACTATTTATAGAATAGAGAAAATATAATTAAAAATTCTTGGGCCCAAATGTAGAAACTATAGCCCTTCAAAATTTAACTTTTTTTTTTAATATTTCATCATATTTTAATTCACACTTGGTGTTAGATACATGAAATCAATTAGACTTCCATTATTCAAAATAATTTTGGAGGTATCTTGTTTTCGTCAACAATTTTCTTTATTTTATAATATAAAAAAAAAACTTAAAAATTGTATAAGATGAATTGGACAAGTGTCGTTAATTTTTAGAGTTTTTTGATTTATTGGTCTAAATTGATATTTTGTTTTTGTACGTCAAATTTACGTAAGGAATTTTTTAGTGATTTTTTCCGAACTTAGACTTGTGAACTTAATAATGTATGGTTTAGTTGGAGCGCCATTTTTTCAGCACCCTGTAAAATATTTTGAGATGACGTCATCAAATTCTTCGGGGGGATGATTAGCCAAATTTTGGTTAGCATCTTACCATCTAGATGATATTCCTAATAAGTATACATACAATATTTGACAATAATCTGTATATTAGTTTTGGAGAATATTGCCTAATAAAAAATGACAGAGACGGCAGGTAGATGAAAAGGAGAGGTTACTTTTTTAGTATTGTAGGGGTCATGAAACGTCGACAAAACGTGAAAGTCACCCGGTGAACTCGATTACGGTCAGAAGATGGCCATCGATTTGAGAATTTACTTTTGATCGTAGCGTTTTCAACTCAAACTTTGAGAACTAGATCAGCTACTCTACCCTCCAGGAAAAGCTTTTATATTTAAAAAGACGACTTTACACTGTATTTTTGTATTAATTTGTTCCTGTTTTCACGTTTTCTGCCGTGAGGTCTTTTTCAAAAAAATTTACGAGACCTGACCTGACATTTATGTAAAGCAATAAATTTCTGTAGAAACTGTTTCATATAACCCATATGTTTTCTTGTAGATCCTTTCAAAAAACATCTTACGACTGAAATTCTTAAAGGTACGTACCTTATAAACCCGTAAATTTTAGGGTATACTTGATGTCACAGCAACAGGAACTATGATTTTTGGTTGGTAAAGAGATTTTAGAAAATTTTTATTGCGTTTGAGGTTACTGACCCTTGGAACTTTAGGTTGATGAACACAAAGAGACAGTACAGACAGTTTTGTCTGTGTTGTAATGAAAACTGACATTTTAAACTAGTTTTGTTCGTTACAAATTTCTTTTGTGCTGCCAAAAAAGTTGAAACGTCACAGACTTTGTGTAAAAAATGGTGGCGAGTGGGATTTCTAATTTAACTTCTTCACATAGGTATTTTACGTTAGAATTTAGCTAAGTGTTTGACGGGATTACGAGAGATCTTGTGGTTTAGTCATCGCCTCTACAGACTCAAATTTTAATTGAGTTCGTACTCTTGAAGTCTTTTGTATTCTTATCGGTTTTCTGTTTTTACTTGAATAATTAAACTCAACTGAACTTTATTATTCCACCGAAGATTCACCATCTTTTCTTTGTCTACTTGAAGAACTTAGTTGATTACTTTGTGGTTTAGTTTAATCCTGCCCCTTGGAGCTAAAGTTATCGTAAGTGCATGAGTATCGAATATCCTTTTGAGGTCCCTCAGCGTTTGATGTTAACTAGTTAACTATATCGTGAAGTACCTATAACAAAAATAAATTTTACTCAGTTACTGAACCACAAGAAATATCGCAACATAGCACTCGGGAACGTTTTTGTGCCCTACACATTTATTACTTTCAGTTATAATTTTCTCAAACGCCAGCTTTTATATTTTCATCACGAATTTAATACACGATCTATTTGTTTACCGTCTTGCGTCATTTGCCAGAGCGAAATTTTCGATTAATTAATAAAATTACCTCGTTTAAACGCTCTTTTAATTATTTAGCCCCCTGATCCAATTACTACAATATTACACCAAGAAAAGTGTCAGCAACACAAGAACAGTTAATTAAATTAAGCCCCACTTTTCGCATGAATGTCACGAAAACAATCTCCGTAAATGGTATTTAGACCTCGAAGAGAAATAGATAAAATTTGCTGCAACAGAAACTTTTTAAATAAACTTAATCAGGCTTTTTTATTATTCGATCCACTTCGGATTCGAGTCAGAAAATTACTCACCAACTTGAATAATTAATTTTGTAGACGCGTCCCAACTTTTATCAGAGTCTTCTCAGACGATTAATTTGAGCTGGAAGTTATAGGGTTCGAGACCGTTAACCCCAAATTTGCCGCAGGAATAAAATATTTGTGTTTGATCTAAAAAGCACGTAACGGATTATCACCAGGAACTAATTTGAAGACTTCAGAAATAAACCATCCGTGTTATTTTAGTAAATACATACAAGTATATAAGTCGCTGGGAGGGTTCAAACGAAAGTAGTTGTGTTAAGATGGCGAAGTATTTTTTATTTTTTATTGCGCTGCTGTTTTTTGTAGTACGAAAGGTAAGTTCTGTGTGGGGGTGAAATGAAACGTCGTAGACTACTATCAATGTTACTAGGTTACTAGCTGTAGTTGTGGTTGTGGTCTTTCATCCAATCCAGCTTTCGACTATGATTACGGAAATTTGGGGGTTAAAGTTTGCGACGATTATGCCATTCCTCCGTTAGAAATTCAGAAGCCTTTGTGTCCTCCGCCACCATCAGTTTGTAAAGAACTTGGAATAGGACCCCAGGCACCATATTACCCTGCGCCACCATCTGGTTGCGGAGGAAGCTGGCTACCACTTCTACCAAGGTGTCTGCGAAAAAGAATCAGATACCCCTTTTGCATCTCCAAAGCTAACCTCTACAATCGAAGGGTACTCTAGCCTATATTTTGTAATCAACTCTCACGTTCATTTTTTAGCCGGCGTTATCGAAGTTCAATTCCTGCGGTTCTGGATACTTAACACCAAGCTTGACACCCTTACAAACCTGTGGTTGCGGTTGTTGACTAGACTAAGTATTCAGCACAGTTATAATGTGAACGTAATTCTCAAAAATTAGAAATAAATGGAAATCGAGGACATATTTACGTTAACTCGGAATCCTTGTGCATAATTTCGAAAATGTGGTCTTTCCAGTCCGCTTTTTTTCTTGATTGTGAATTAAGCCGTTATTAGTCTTGAATGTGAATGTTTTTGTTGTTTTGCGGTGCCATTGACCCCGCAAATAAAACACCTTGTCACGTTTCGCAATCAATTTTTGCTTACTCCTCATTTCACCACTTCCATCTCTTCGAAGAGAGCGATTCTTCCTAAGCATATTATAGCATAATGTAGGCCACTTTCGGACCAGTGCCGTTACCCTCGTTTACTGTTACACAGTTAAGTCTGCTCCGTGTTCTCGGCAATGTTGCCATTAATTTTTACTGAAATGTCTTGATAAACATGTGATTTACATGCCGTTTTTAAAAAGCAGTGTGTCAAAAATTAAAAATGAGTGAGAGATGCGCACCCTTTTTCTGTTGTTGCTCTGTAGCGTCCACGTTTTTGCTGTTTTCGAGTTTTCGAAGCTTGCACATTATCTTCGGAAAAACAGGAAGGATGACAGCTATGAGAGAAATGTCGCTTTTAGTGGTAAGTTGAGCTTTAAAATTGAGTGTTTTGGGATTTTGGGGGAATTGTTATGTGTTATTTTTTCTTCAGGGAGAATGTTTGTAACAATGTTGGGATATCCGCCTAAATGTGAAAGAAAAGGAATTTTGCATTCTTGTACTTTATCGTTTGCGTGTTGGCTCGTGGGTGGATCCAGTCAACCAGGATGTGGAGCTCATCCCTGGATTGTGGCTTGTTGTGTTACTGCAAAGAAAACTTTGAATCAGCTTAAGGAATTAGAACAACCGGTGTAAGTTTTTGACAATCAGACAAAAAGTTTGACGAAGTTTCTAGGATTTTCTGGTTTTTATTATTTCAACAATCATATGTATATGCATAAACGTGTATTTTTTTAAACAGCCGATGTTACTTAAGTATTTTTCGGAATTTGGAACTGTTAATTTATCTGTTGAATTCTGACTATTCATCTTCAGATCTGAATATGATATAAATGTGGTCGACACTGATCCCTGAATCAATGTAAACTTTAACTGTCTCACTGCAATACTGAAGGTTGTAATTAACTGGAATGTTCCAAATGAAAACATGGATTTTCAAATCTGAAGGTAGCACCGAGTTTGCAAAAAGGAAATTTTTGTTTAATATAATAAATAAATAATAAATAAAATTAATCCATCTAAATACATAACAAATGCTCGTTTATTATGGTCTAATATCAACGAGTTTTGTTAAAAGTTTTATGAATTTGATATTTAGAAAATATGTTCATTTAATGAAGTCGTCAAAGAAAAATTTTCGTTGATAAGTACGCTTTGAAATTGATTTTGCCTCTTAATAATTTTCAAAAAATGAAGAAAACAACGAAAAATGCATGTGTTCATTCATTTACATTGATGTGTAAAAATGATATTTGACAGAGCTGATGAGAAGCGTTAATTTTATTATAAGAAAAACTAAGGTTAGGTTGTATTATTCCGCATTGAAAACTATCAAACATTTAAATTTTAGGTATACATACTTCATAATTTTTACAAAAAATTAAATTCTCTTATTTCAATATAAAAATATGATCATACGCACAAGAAGAGCGCGCTTCTCGGTAGGTCATTATCATTATCCTTAATTGTTATTTGAGAAAGTAAAATTATTTTCAACTATAGAGAGTGTTCAGTTTTTGTGCTGCCACATAGAAGTTCTTTTAATTGGACATATGGATAATAGAATGCTACATATTTATGCATGCCTCGAATGGCCTCTTTTTAAGATTCATAAGTATATTTTATTTTTGAAATTCTAATGCGACGTTGCCCAGCTATTCCAATTTTTTTTATTTTTTTAATAAGGTAAAAGTTCGGTAAAAAATCATAACGGGATTTTTGTCTCGTTTTTTTTTACTTGTAAAGTAAGAAAATATTTTAATACGGTACATCCGACGAATGACCGCATGAGTATGAAATAATCGATCTCCATTTTCAGTTTGCCTGGTTTGTTGTCTGTATCGATTTTTATTAGATAGATGACCTCCTAAACTACTGGACAAATTGTACTCAAATGTTATAATGTATGTTAAGAATACCTGTAGATGGTAAAATTCTGATCAAAATTTGTCTGGTCATCTCCACAAACAATGTGATGACGGCATCTCAAAAGTTTACATGGTAAATGTTATTTAAATTTTATAAAATACCATATTCCTATACTTGTGGCTTATGAATCCATCCTGATTCAGATTTTTGGAGCAAAAAAAAACTACAATTTTTATAATACCATTTTGACTTTGAAACTGCAAAACCGAATACTTTGAAATCTTGCAAACGTTTCAAGATTTTCATAAGCAAGATAAGTATGTCAAAATAAAAATTTCAATCCGAATATTTCTAAAATCTTGCTCTGGGACCATAAACATACTATATTTTTGGAATCAGTACGTCGAAATTTACATTCCAAAATTTTTTGGGGATTTTTAGGCAACTTTTCAAAATCAAAATTTTTCAATATTACTTACGAATATTTCGTAATTTTTCGACCATCTTCGAAACTTAACTAAAGACATTTTCTTGTAAATTTCGACCCCCAGAAGTTACTTTCGACCGTTGTTCCAGAATCGCTCACTGAAATATGATATAACTCCTACAATTTTTCTATTATTCCAGAATTGCACATTGAAATATGACATTTTTTTAAAAATGAATTTCAATCAGAATATTTTTAAGATCTCGCACCGAGACATAAACAGGCTATATTTTTGCAACCAACACGTCGAGACCTACATCCCAGAATTTTTGTGGATTTTTAGGCAAGTTTTTCAAAACCAAAATTTTTCAGTGTCTCTAATAAAAATTACGAAATTTTTCGACTTTGTTGGAAACTTAGCTAAAGACATTTTCTTGTAGATTTCGATCTTCAGAAGTTACTTCCGCCTTCATTCCTTCCATAACTCTTATAATTTTTTCATTATTCCAGAATTGCACATTGAAATATGACATTCTTCTTTTGATTGAATTTCAACTAAAAATAAAACATTTTCTTGTAGATTTTTTTCTAGAAGCACCCATTGAAAATTTATGACAGCTTTTAGATAAAAAAATGAATTTCAAACCAAATAGTCGTAAAATCTTGTCCAGGGACTATAAACACGCTATATTTTTGGAACTCTACATTTCATAATTTTTTGCGGATTTTTGAGCAAGTTTTCCAAAATCAAAATTTTTCAATATCACTTATGAAAATTTCGGAATTTTTCGAACATCTTGGAAACTTAACTAAAGACATTGTCTTGTAAATTTCGATCTACAGGAGTTACTTTCAGCTAATTCTTCGATTACTCATACCGTTGTTCGATAATTGACCTCTGAAATATGACAGGATTTTGGATTTTTTTAAATTGAATTTCAGTTGGATTACCTATTTCCAAGATCTTGTACCAGGACATAAAAAGGCTATATTTTATGAACCTACACGTCGAGACCTACATCCCAGAATTTTTGTGGATTTTTAGGCAAGTTTTTCAAAAACCTAAATTTTTCAGTGTCCCTTATAAAAATTACGAAATTTTTTGATTTTGTTGGAAACTTAACTAAAGACATTTTCTTGTAGATTTCGATCTTCAGAAGTTACTTCCGCCCTCATTCCTTCCATAACTCTTATAATTTTTTCATTATTCCGGAATTGCACATTGAAATATGACATTCTTTTTTTAATTGAATTTCAACTAAAACATTTCCTTGTAGATTTTTTTTCTAGAAGCACCGATTGAAAATTTATGACAGCTTTTAGATAAAAAAATGAATTTCAAACCAAATATTCGTAAAATCTTGTCCAGGGACTATAAACACGCTATATTTTTGGAACTCTACATTCCACAATTTTTTGCGGATTTTTGAGCAACTTTTCCAAAATCCAAATTTTTCAATATCACTTATGAAAATTTCGGAATTTTTCGAACATCTTGGAAACTTAACTAAAGACATTTTCTTGTAGATTTCGACCTCCAGGAGTTACTTTCAGCTAATTGCTTCGATAACTCCTACCATTGTTCGATAATTGACCTCTGAAATATGACAGGTTTTTGGATTTTTTTAAATTGAATTTCAATTTGTATACCTATTTCCAAGATCTTGTACCGGGACATAAACAGGCTATATTTTTGGAACCTACACGTCGAGACCTACATCCCAGAATTTTTGTGGATTTTTAGGCAAGTTTTTCAAAAACCAAAATTTTTCAGTGTCCCTTATAAAAATTACGAAATTTTTTGACTTTGTTGGAAACTTAACTAAAGACATTTTCTTGTAGATTTCGATCTTCAGAAGTTACTTCCGCCCTCATTCCTTCCATAACTCTTATAATTTTTTCATTATTCCAGAATTGCACATTGAAATATGACATTCTTCTTTTAATTGAATTTCTACTAAAACATTTTCTTGTAGATTTTTTTCTAGAAGCACCCATTGAACATTTATGACAGCTTTTAGATAAAAAAATGAATTTCAAACCAAATATTCGTAAAATCTTGTTCAGGGACTATAAACACGCTATATTTTTGGAACTCTACATTTAATAATTTTTTGCGGATTTTTGAGCAAGTTTTCCAAAATCAAAATTTTTCAGTATCACTTATGAAAATTTCGGAACTTTTTGAACATCTTGGAAACTTAACTAAAGACATTTTCTTGTAAATTTCGATTTCCAGGAGTTACTTTCAGCTAATTTCTTCGATAACTCATACCATTGTTCGATAATTGACCTCTGAAATATGACAGGTTTTTGGATTTTTTTAAATTGAATTTCAATTTGAATATCTATTTCCAAGATCTTGTACTGGGACATAAACATGCTGTATTTTTGGAATCAACACGCCGAGGTCTACGTCCCAGAATTTTTTTTGCGGATTTTTAGGCAAGTTGCTCAAAACCAAAATTTTTCATTGTCACTTATGAAAATTTCGGAATTTTCCGACCATTTTGGAAACTTAACCAAAGACATTTTCTTGTAGATTTTGATAACTCCTACAATTTTTCCAGAATCACCCACTGAAATATGTATAAGAGTTTTTATATAAAAAAAATGAATTTCAAACCGAATGTTTCTAAAACCAGCACGTCAAAACTTACATCTCAGAATTTTTTGCAGATTTTTAGGCAATTTTTTCAAAACCAAAATTTGTCAATATTCCAATTTTAGAAATTGGACACTTATCTAAAAAAATGCACACCTACTGTTATAATTACTATTAAGCTGCACCTACCCAAACTGTAGTATATGTGTCCTTGCTAAAATCTTGATGATGCCATCACAAAATTTTGTAATGAAAAACTCTTTCGCTAAATCAAATTTTATCATTTTTCGAAATAGGCCAGGATATGTTGGACTGTACCTCAGAGGCGAGGGAAGTTCTGTCTAAATAACCTTACACAAAATTTTTCCTATTAAAAGTTGATAGTTTCTACGCTTTTTCAATTTTTTTAATCAGACATCAAAATATGGGGGGAAAGGAAATAAAAAACTAGAGCAAGATTCAATAATATGACACAGGAGGTTCTATTTCTTAAAGATGACCTATTATTAATAGTTAAAAATTATAAATTTTTACAGTTGTTTTATAAACACTCTGTATAATAAGATTTTTGTTTGTATTTTTGTCTATAAAGTATTGCAACACAGATGTTACTAATAGCATTAATAAGAATACTAATATAATATATATACAGGAAAAAATAAGGACATAAATTAAAAAAGAAAATCCTGAGTGTTGTGAATAATTTTTAAACCATATAACACGGTCACGTTATTGAAAACAAACTTAACGTTTTTTGCTTAAAATATTTGTCACTATACACGTGTTCAAAAAATCATTGCTGAGAAACTACTGAACAACAAAAAAATGGGGTTAAACAATCCCTGAATCATACTTTTGTAAATATTGAACTTCAAAGTTGAAGAATTAATTTCGTAATTTTGATATGTTTTAATGTCCATTTAATAGAAAATATAAAATTGTCTAAAATCACACCTGACAATCGTAAATAAAATAAATTTTTGAAGCGTAATCAAAACAAATTATTATTAAATTATTAAAAAACACCGAGTGATTTGAATGTTTGCGTATCTTTTTTGTTAGGTTGTTATCAGATTCAAATTTTGGGTGCCAATTCAGTAACTGCCATCTTCTAATTGGTTTCTAGGCGAGCTCAAGTCAAAATTGACAACTGTGAACTGACATGCTAACACTTCTGCCAGTAATTCAGAATTGCCAACCCTAAAATTTACTTCAATAATTAAAAGTCACCCGGTATTTAACTGTGTATTGAATCTTTTTTCGTTTCTCAAGTTGTATCGATAGTTGCAACATCTTATTATCAGCGTAAGCAGTAAAGAAAATAGAACTACCGCTAGTGTTACCTACGTTGTTGTCTTAACTAAAATTTCTATTTCGACTTATCAATTCCAACAATTCCCACAACATAAAACATACTTGGAAGCCAAAACTTTGATGCTTTCTTTATCAAATTCACAACAACATTCGTTAAAAAATGTATGGAAAAACGCACTTGTTCGTCGAAAGAAACCATCACATTTGGTGAAAAAGTCATTTATTTATCAAGATAAGGGTAAACACAAAACCGTCCTCGACCGCTGTCACTGAATTAATAACAAGGGAAAATCCCAGATGAAATCAATACTTCTGCTCTTGCCTCCCGTACCTGCATCTTTTTTTCCATCAAATTGGGAATTAGTTTTTAATTCGACTTCACTTTTACGCTGCTGAAACAGAATTAGAGAAGACAACTCGTTATTACCAATCCTGCAAAAGCGCATTGACGACTTTGGGGATGAATGTGGATTATCAAGCGACCGAATATTAATGAAACGCATTATTGGAGGCGACGAGGCAAAATTCGCGCAATTTCCATGGCAGGCCTTCATAAAAATAGCTTCCTATCAGTGTGGTGGAGTTCTGGGTAAACTCATTTGATCTTCCTGAATAATGCAATTTTAATTGTTGCTTGTTTTCAGTCTCTCGGAAATTCGTGGCGACTGCGGCCCACTGTATTATTACGGCAAGGCTTAAGGACACACTGGTTTATTTGGGAGAATTGGATACACAGGACACTGGGAAAGTCAAGGAATTAGAACCAGCTGAATTACACAGGGTAGGGTATTATTCATAAGTTTCTAAATATAAACAAATTGTTTTGTGGCTGTTGTTTGTGTTGCTCTCAAGGGAAGTTAAATCTGTGCCTTGAAATGGTTATTTATTTCTTGCTTAGACGCCGTGAATATTGTATGGAAACAAATGTGGCTTGGAAAAGCGCAAAATGAGAACAGAGATTTTTTAAAGTTGGAACTATCTACTATTTCCAGTTATAATTTAAAGAATCCAGAAGACTACCATCCAATTTCAGTATCCGAACATCGCCACAACCATTTTAATAAAAACCCCATCCTCCCACCACACACCTTCTAATATCTTCTGTCATTTCCAGGTCCGCAGAAGAATCATCCACCCCAACTTCCAATTCCGAACGACGCAGCCTGACAGATACGACCTTGCCTTATTAGAATTGATCACCGAAGCGGGTTATTCTTACCACATCTACCCTATATGTCTCCCGAGCAGCGACATGATTCTGACAGGGAGGAATGCGGTGGTGGCGGGTTGGGGCAAGGTCCAGCCCTCGAACGAATTACTGGGCACGAACGTGCTCCGGAGCGCCACCGTCCCCATCCTTGACATACGGGAGTGCATGGCCTGGCACGAAATCAAGCAAATTTCGGTGGAGTTGCACGAAGAAATGCTGTGTGCAGGACACGAGTTCGGCAAGCACGACGCGTGTTTAGGGGACTCGGGGGGACCGCTCATCGTGCTGGAAAACGGGAGGTGGACACTGGTGGGGATCACCAGCGCGGGGTTCGGCTGTGGAGAGCCCCATCAACCCGGAATATATCATAAAATCCCGGTGACAGCTGACTGGATCAGATCTGTTATTGGGTTGTTATAATGAAATAGTGGCTGCGGAGGGTTGGGGCATGATATTATGACCTGTGCAGTGGGGTTTGTGGAGATTGATGGGTTATGTCCTTTATACATATTACAGTGAGATGTATTATTTTAGAAAATGTTTGTACGTGTACATATTATTAAAGTTTTATTTATTTTATTTGTTTCTGCAACTACATAGTTTTACTAGTGTTTGAGTTTTGTAACGTTAATTTCTATATTTTTAAAAGTGGGTGATATTTTAAACACTTGTTTGACTTTGGTTTAAAAAAAAATCGTAACACTACAAATACTAATTGTGAATAATAATAGTAGGGAAAACAGAATTCAGCCCCAAATAATGTGTAGAATTCCTACTCAACATGTGTGTTTTGTTATGTAACAATTAGTGATAAAGAAATAGTTCATAGTAATAATTACTACTTATCACAAGTATTGTGACATTAATTTAAACAGTGAAAATCAATTTTGTCTCACTGATTTAAACATACCTACTTTACAATGCATATAAGATATTTAAAATATTATCCAAAAATTATGTATACATATTTACATTCACGGGACTCTGAGATTCTTACAAACAACTTCAAAAACAAAATTCTTTCAAACTATTTAAAAAACAAAACAAGGAATCCAGGACATTCTTTCAAGCTACTTCAAAAACAAAACACAAGGGGTTTCGAGATTCGTTCAAATTTAGCTTAAAAATAAGACCCACAGAAGGCCCCCGAGATTCTTTCAAACTACTTCAAAAACAACACACAAGGGGCGCTGGAGATTGTCAAATTACTTCAAAAGCAAGACCCACAAATTCTTTCAGACTACTTCGAAAACAAAATACAAGGTGTCCTCGAGATTCTTTCAAATTATTTCAGAAACAGGACAAGGGATTTGCAAAATTCTTTCCAACGATTTCCAAACAAATTATTTTCAATCCTGTAAATTGTGTACTTAAAAAATGGAGATTCATTTAATTTACCTCAAAAACAAAAATACACGGGTTCTTTTAAATGACTTTAGAGACAAAACATCATGAATGACGGGACTTCGAGTTTCTTCCAAACTACTTCAAAAACAAAACACAAGGAATCCCCGAAATTCTTTCAAACTACTTCAAAAACTAGACACAAGAGGTCCAAGAGATTTTCTCAAACAACTTCAAAAGCAAAACATAAGTGATCCTTGCAATTTTTTTCAAATTTAGTTGAAAAATAATACAAAGGATCTCCAAAATTCTCGAAACTACTTCAAAAACGAGACCCAAGAGGTGTCCGAGATTCTTTAAAACTACGCGAGATTCCTTCAAATTACTTTAAAAACAAGACAAGGGATCCCGAGATTTTTACAAACTACTTCAAAAATAAAACACAAGGGATCCTCGAGATTTTTTCAATTTACTTAAAAAACAAGACAATGGATTCCGAGAATATTTGAAACTCCATATTTCAAAAATAAAACACAAGGGGTCGTCGAGATTGTTTCAGATTACCTCAAAAACAAGACCCACAAGAAGTTTCCGAGACTCTTTCAAATTTCTTGAAAAACAAAACACAAGGAATTCCAATTATTACAAAAACAAAATCCACAGCAGATCCCCGAGATCCTTTCAAACCACTTCAAAAACAAAACAGAAGGGGTCCTCGAGATTATCAAATTACTTCAAAAACAAGACCCACAGGAAGTGGCCGAGATTTTTCCAAAGTAGTTCAAAAATAAAACGCAAGGGGTTCCCGGGATTTTTTAGAATTACTTCAAAATCAAGACAAGGGATCCCCTAGAATCTTTTAAACTACTTCAAAAACAAAACACAAGCGGTGACGAGATTGGTTGAAGTTATTTCAAAAACAAATAAGGGATCTCCCAGGTCCTCGAGATTGATTCAGATTACTTCAAAATCAAACAAGGGATTCCGGAGATTCTTTCAAACTATTTCGAAAACAAAATACAAGGTGCCTCCGAGATTCTCTCAAATTATTTCAAAAACAAGGCAAGGGATACGCGAAATTCTTTCCAACCACTTAAAAAACAAAATATTTTAAAATTCTTTCGAACTATGTAGTTCAAAAACTGGACATTCTTTTAATTTGCTTCAAAAATAAAACACACGGACTCTGCAAGATTCTTTTAAAGTATTTTAAAGACAAGACATCACGAATGACAATACTTCGAGTTTTTTTCAAACTACATCTATAACAAAACACGAGAGATTCCCGAAATTTTTCAAACTACTTAAAAAATCAGACACAAGAGTTCCCAGAGATTCTTTTAAACAATTTCAAAAACAAAATACAAGGGGTTCCCCAAATTATTTCAAATTACTTAAAAAAAAAGACAAGCGATTCCGAGATTCTTTTAAACTACTTCAAAAACAAAATATAATGGTCCCCGAGATTGTTTCAAATTTTTTACAGACGGGGGCCTGGAGATTCTTTAATACTACTTCAAAAATAAAACATAAGGGGTGCTCGAGATTGTTTCAGATTAGTTACAAACAAGAGTCACAGGAAGTCTCCGAGGCGCTTTCAAACTTCTTCAAAAACAAAACACAAGGGGTGCTGGAGATTGTCAAATTACTTCCAAAGCAAGACCCACAGAAAGTCCCTAAGACTAGTCCAAATTTAGTTTAAAAATAAGACAAGAGATACCCATAATTCTTTCAAACTACTTCAGAGGGTCCTATAGATTCTTTCAAATTACTTCAAAAACAAGGCCCACAGGAGGTCCGCGAGATTATTTCAAACTATTTCAAAAATAAAACACAAAGGGTTAACGAGATTTTTTTCAAATTACTTCAAAAACAAGACAAGGGATTCCCGAAAAACTTTCAAACTACTTTCAAAATAAAACCAAAGGGGTCCTCGAGATTGTTTCAAATTACTTCAAAAACAAACACGGGATCCCCGAGATTGTCAAATTATTTCAAAAACAAGACCCACAGAAGGTCCCCTAATTCTTTCAGACTACTTCGAAAACAAAATACAAGGTGTCCTCGAAATTCTTTCAAATTATTTCAGAAACAGGCAAGGGATTTGTAAGATTCTTTCCAACCATTTTCAAACAAATTATTTTCAAATTCTTGTAAATTATGTAATTAAAAACTAGAGATTCATTTAATTTACTTCAAAAACAAAAATACACGGGTTCTTTTAAATTACTTTAGAGACAAAAAAACATCATGGATGACGGGACTTTGAGTTTCTTTCAAACTACTTCAAAAACAAAACACAAGGGATCCCCTAAATTCTTTTAAACTACTTCAAAAACAAAACACAAGAAATCCCCCAAAATTCTTTCAAACTACTTCAAAAACCAGACACAAGAGGTCCACGAGATGTTTTCAAACAACTTCAAAAACAAAACATAAGTGATCCTTGCGATTTTTTTCAAATTTAGTTGAAAAATAAGACAAAGGATCTCCAAAATTCTTGAAACTACTTCAAAAACCAGACCCAAGAGGTGTCCAAGATTCTTTAAAACGACTTAAAAAATACACAAGGGGCCCCCGAGATTCCTTCAAATTACTTTAAAAACAAGACCCACAGGAAGTGCCCGAGATTCTTCCAAAGTAGTTCAAAAATAAAACGCAAGAGGTTCCCGGGATTTTTTAGAATTACTTCAAAATCAAGACAAGGGATCCCCTAGAATCTTTTAAACTACTTTAAAAACAAAACACAAGCGGTGACGAGATTGGTTGAAGTTACTTCAAAAACGAATAAGGGATCTCCCAGGAATCCACGACATTCTTTCAAGCTTCTTCAAAAACAAAACACAAGGGGTTTTGAGATTCGTTCAAAATTAGCTCAAAAATAAGACCCACAAAAGGCCCCCGAGATTCTTTCAAATTACTTCAAAAACAAAACATAAGGTGTCCTCGCGATTGTTTCAGATTAGTTAAAAACAAGAGTCACAAGAAGTCCCCGAGGCTTTTTCAAACTTCTTCAAAAACAAAACACAAGGGGTGCTGGAGATTGTCAAATTACTTCAAAAGCAAGACCCACAGAAAGTCCCTAATAAGACTAGTCCAAATTTAGTTCAAAAATAAGACAAGAGATACCCATAATTCTTTCAAACTACTTCAAGGGGTCCTATAGATTCTTTCAAATTACTTCAAAAACAAGACCCATAGGAGGTCTGCGAAATTATTTCAAACTACTTCAAAAATAAAACACAAAGCGTTCCCGAGATTTTTTTCAAATTACTTCAAAAACAATTCAAGGGGTTCCCGAGAAACTTTCAAACCACTTTCAAAATAAAACCCAAGGGGTCCTCGAGATTGTTTCAAATTACTTCAAAAACAAACAAGGGATCCCCGAGATTGTCAAATTACTTCAAAAACAGGACTCACAGAAGGTCCCCAAATTCTTTCAGACTACTTCGAAAACAAAATACAAGGTGTCCTCGAGATTATTTCAAATTATTTCAGAAACAAGACAAGGGATTTGCAAGACTCTTTCCAACCATTTCCAAACAAATTATTTTCAAATTCTTGTAAATTATGTAATTAAAAACTGGAGATTCATTTAATTTACTTCAAAAACAAAAATACACGGGTTCTTTTAAATTACTTTAGAGACAAAAAACATCATGGATGACGGGACTTTGAGTTTCTTTCAAACTACTTCAAAAACAAAACACAAGGGATCTCCCAAATTCTTTTAAACTACTTCAAAAACAAAACACAAGGAATCCCCCAAAATTCTTTCAAACTACTTCAAAAACCAGACACAAGAGGTCCACGAGATGTTTTCAAACAACTTCAAAAACAAAACATAAGTAATCCCTGCGATTTTTTTCAAATTTAGTTGAAAAATAAGACAAAGAATCTCCAAAATTCTTGAAACTACTTCAAAAATCAGACCCAAGAGGTGTCCAAGATTCTTTAAAACTACTTAAAAAAAACACAAGGGGCCCCCGAGATTCCTTCAAATTACTTTAAAAACAAGACCCACAGGAAGTGCCCGAGATTCTTCCAAAGTAGTTCAAAAATAAAACGTAAAGGGTTTCCGGGATTTTTTAGAATTACTTCAAATTAAGACAAGGGATCCCCTAGAATCTTTTAAACTACTTTAAAAACAAAACACAAGCGGTGACGAGATTGGTTGAAATAACTTAAAAAACGAATAAGGGATCTCCCAGGAATCCACGATATTCTTTCAAGCT